GGATCCATCCCTGCAGGATCCTGGCCCTGCTCCACGCAGCATCCACAGCCCCGGACCCATCCCTGCGGGATCCTGGCCCTGCTCCACGCAGCATCCACAGCCACGGATCCATCCCTGCGGGATCCTGGCCCTGCTCCACGCAGCATCCACAGCCACGGATCCATCCCTGCGGGATCCCGGCCCCGCCCAGAGGCACCACAACTCCACAACTCCACAACTCCGGTGTTTGCCCAGACGGCTCCACGTGTTCCAACCCGGCAGCACCAGCACCGCCACCCTCGCCGGGCCCACGGCACCCTCCGGTGCAGGGCTGTGCCACCGAGAACCAGAGACTGCTCCGAGCTCAACGCGCCCCGTGGGGCTGGAGCCTGACGTGACCCTTCACAATCGCCGACACCAAACCGAGCCACCGCAGCCCCGTGGGGGGATGGCACAGCCAGCCCAGCGCCGGCACATCCATCCTCCGGAGCCCACGGCCCCCCAGGGACAGCTCTCCCCATCTCAGACCCGAGCAACACGCTGAACAGCCCACGGTTGCGCGGCGAGGGCTCAACTCTGACTCGGCGCCAGCCCCGGCAGCACCGAGCCCAGACCTCTCTCCGTGAAAGGAGACACGTCACACCGCGGCAGAGACACGTCACACCAGAGCAGAGCCACGACACACCAGGGCAGAGACACGTCATGCCATGGCACACCAGGGCAGAGCCACGCACGCTCCTGTCCCAAACACAAACAACAAAACACCGCCAAGATCCAACAAGATCCAACGCCGGCCCTGCCCGGAACACAGGGAGAGCCACGGCACCTCCGCCGAGCACCCTGAGCACCCCGCGCACCCCACCCTGGCCGAGGCCACGGGGCCACGCTCTTCTTGGACGCCGCGGCGCCCGCGAGCCCCCACGCCACCCTGGGAGCACGGCACGGGCCTGGCCGTGGCCTGGGGAAGCAGCACAAGGCAAAGAGCCGGAGAGAGCCGAGGCGGTTAGTGCCGGGAGAGCCAGAGGCAGCCGGGAGCCCCATGTGGCTCTCACCTCGCCCTCAGCCTTGCTGTTCTCCCTGATGACTTTGATCCAGGCCAGCATGTCTTCCCGATCCTCTGCCTGAAAGAGATATTCACAGAAGTCAGCGGTCGTCAGGCGGAAGACGTGCTTCCTCTTGGTCTCGCTGTAGGAGATGTCCACCAGGCACGCTTGGATGCTGATCGGCGGCTCCTCCTCACCTGGGGCCGGGGCGCAGGTCACCGCCTCCCGCCTGTCCTTGCACAGGTACAGCGAGTGGGTGCGCAGCACGGCGAACACGCGCTTCCACTGCCGGAGACCTCCACCGACCTTCTGCGGGCACAAGGGACGGGGCACAAGCGCGCCTCAGGGCTGCTCCCCGCGGGGAGCGTCCCCCCCGCGCGGCCGCCGGGCTCCGGGGGGGCACCCGCCTACCTTCCCCTTTTTGGTGAGGATCTGCTTGCAGTGGAGCCAGCCCTCCTTCCTCACGGCGCTGAACGGGACGTCCGAGAGGTCGGAGGTCGAGTGCCTTTTGGAACGGGCGTCCTCGGATGTGCCGAGGCTGTCCAGGGACTGCGGGGGGGGACCGGAGGGAGGCGTTGGGTGCCATCCGCACCCCTGCTCTGCCAGCACCCGGCAAGGCAACCCTTCTTTGGGGGCACCCCCAGGACCCCCAACACAACTCACCCCGTCGGTGAAGAAGCTCCTGAGCATGCGGAGGCTGGGGACCCGGCTGGGCATCCTCCTGGGGGGAGAGCAGCCCCCGTCAGCGGGACGGTGGGGAGGGGATGGTGGCTGGGGGGGCGTGGTGGGACTGGGAAGGGGGAGTGCGTCCCTTAGGATCCTACCTTAGGATCTTGGCCTCGTCCCGAAATGCGTTCAGACCGTCGTCGCAGGACTTGGAGCGCTCGGTGGTGATGGCCAGCAGGTAGGACGAGCGGCGGCCGGCCTTGATGCTGCCTGCGATGGGGAGGGGGGCAAAGCCCACCCTGGTCAGCCCGGGGGCACGGGACACAGCTCCAGGGTGGGGGGCTGCTCCCCCCACAGCCCCCAGGATGGTTCTCCCCCCACCCAGCACTTACTGCAGTCCTGGGAATAGTGCCGGGACAGGGCAAAGGCGAAGGTGGGTGACGAGGGGCTGGTGGCGACGGCGGGCGCCGAGTTCATGGCGCTGGAGACCACCGAGGAGGCCGGGACGTGCTTGGCCTTCAGGTCGATGCTGGGGCTGGTGGGTTCGTCTGCGAGGGGAGTGGGCAGTGTTGTAGGGGGTGTTGGGGCAGGGGACGTCCCTTGCCAGGACCCCTCAGCACTTCTGCCCCATGGTGGGTCTGTAGGTGTCTGGGTCGGGCAGGGGGGACATGCTCCCACCCCTGGCAAAGCCAGGAGCTGCTGGTGCACCCAGACCCTCACCCACAGCACCACTGCACCCCCCATCCCTACTCCATCCCTTCCCTTCCCATCCAGCCCAGGGGTCCCTCCCTGGGAGCAAGTACGGGGAAGGACAGGGCAGACCTGTGGCTCCTCCAGACCTATTTGGGACTCACCAATGAAGGGGATGGACGCCAGGGAGTCCTCGGGGGCTGCCAAGGGAGCCATGCGCCGGCCCGGCCGCTCGGCCACCGGCCTCTCCCCTTTGCCCCCGGGGGCCGAGGGCTCGCAAATGTCCGTCTCCTTCACCCCCTCGGGGAAGACAAAGTTCATCTGCCGCAGCGGCACCGGCATCTTGCGGCCCGTGGGCGGCTTCTGCCGCAGAACCACCTCCTCCCTGCGCTCCTCGGGCTGCTCGGCCGCTCGGCCGCCCTCCGGCCGCTGCTCCCGGGGCGCGGCGGGGCCCGCCGTGGGGCCGGCGGGCAGCGGTGGCAGGGGGGTGACCATGCTGTCCGTGAGCGGGGCCACGGCCCGCTGGGCGATGCTGAAGGTGGGCAGCCCCCCGAAGGCCGGGTCGCGGAAGGACAGGGCGTGCAGCAGCCCCGTGCGGCGCTGGAAGGAGGGGCTGTAGCTGCGGTAGCCGATGTACCCCGAGTCGTCCACGCTCTGCAGGTTGGGCTGCGACGGGTGTTTCTGCACCGGCGGCGGCTCCCGCGAGGAGGACGAGGAGGAGGAGGAGGGAGGTGCGAAGGAGCCGTGCGGGATGGGCTGCCCGGCGCTCCCGGCGGCCCGGCAGAGCCTCTCGGGCGGCCACGCGGAGCGGTCGAGGTGCGGCGGGAGCAGCGCTCGGGGCTCCAGCGCCTCCATGGAGCGCCCGTACCTGCCCAGGGCGTGGTCGGAGCGGGCGCGGGGGGCCCAGCCCTCGCGGGTGGGCTGCAGCAGGGTGTCGTGCGAGGCGCTGTGGGGCCACCCCCGGTGGGCCGCGCCCGCCGAGCCCCCCAGGCGGTCCTGGGACACGCTGCGGTAGCGGGGCAGGGCGTGCCGGCGCTCCTCCGAGGCGCTGCGCCGCGGCTCCCGGCTGCAGAACCAGCGCGACAGAGCCTGCTGGCACTCCTGGCGCCCGGGCACGCGCTGGGCCACGTCCCGGGGGGGCCGCCCGGCCCCCGACAGCCCCCCGACGGCCTCCTGGAAGCCGCAGTGAGTCCGGTGCTCCGGGAGGTGCTTGGGGGCCGCGTGGCAGGAGGCGGCGGTGGCGGGGGGGGGCATCCCGTAGCGGTCGGGCACGGAGGATGTGGCGCTGCCGGGGCAGCCGGGGCGGGAGAAGGAGCTGGGGTGCCCGTGGGGGCGCGGGGGGGGACCCCCGGGCTGCGGATCCTCGGGGCGGTGTGCGGGGCTGCCGCCGGCGTCGCTCCGGGGTCCGGTGGCAGAGGGGCCGGTGGCAGAGGGGCGGTGGGCGCGGGGGTCCGGCGGCTGGCCCGGGGGGGGCTCAGCACCCCGTGCCTGGAAGGGGTACGTCTTCCGTGGGTAGCAGATGGGAGGGGGCTCGGGGATGCTCTGCGCCCCGCCGGAGTACGGCTCGTTGCCCTTCAGGTAGGCATCCTGGGAATATGCCTGTGGGGGGACATGGGGTCAGGGTGGGGGGACGGGGTCACAATCCCCCCATTCCCACTGTAGGAATGATCTCTGCTCCTCCCTACCCGAGCTGTGCTCCCTACCTGGTTCCTGCCGCCCTGGTCCTGCTTTCCCATGGGGTCCCTCCCCAGCACCAACCCCAGCCCTTCCGCTCTCCCCTCCCCTCCTTCCTAAAATACCCCGGCATGGCCGGCCCAGCTCTCCCATCTCACGTTTCACAGGCACCTCTGACTCCATGCCTGGGGATTCCCAGAGCCCGGAGCAGGCACAGATGGGAGACCCCCCCCTTTCCAGGGCTATAAGACCCCCCAGACTCCATGGGAATGGGACCCCCAGGCCGGGGACAAGCAGTGGTGTCACCTAATACCCAAGACAGGACCAGAGGAGCACCAGAAGGCCCCCTTACACCCCTTGGCTCGGGCCACCCTGCAGGGCCACTCTCACCCTCAGATCCCAGCTCACCAACAGCAGAGGCACCCGGGGTGCTCCAAGGGTAAGTCAGACCCTGAGACCCAGAGCAACTCATCCTCCAGCTATGCCTGAGGATGTCCCCAAAAAACAGAGGCCACATCCCCCATGTTCCTGCCCTGGACCCCTGGTACCTCCATCTCTGCACCCATTGATCCTCCTGGGATGCTGGTGGAGCCCTGTCCCCAAGTGTCCCTGAAACCTGCCCGGCAAACTCACCAGCTGGAGGATGTCCTCATCCTTGGGCATGATGGAGAGCTCCAGCACATCGTCACTGGGGAGAGGGGACAGAGGGGTCAGGGTGGACGGGGTCGGTCCCCAGCTGCCCCCAATCTCACCCCCACGAGATGAACATCCCCATCGCCACGGTGACAGCCCATCACTGCCTGTCCCTGTTTCCCTGCCTCAGGGCTCCTGTCATCCCAGTGACACCCAGGGGGACAGTGCCTGCTGTGACGTGTCCCCATCCCGTCACCTCCCACCCGCAGGAAGGGGACTCACCTGTTCTGGATCAGCGCGATGACCTGCGAGTAGGTTTTCCCGATGATGCTCTCCCCGTTCACCTTGACCAGCCGGTCACCTGCAGAGCCCCAGGAGGGCACAGTGTCACCACAAGGCCGTGGTGGCACCTGGATGTCCCCACGGTCACTCACGGCAGGGTTTGAACGGGGATTTTGCCAAGAGGAGCCACGGGGACCCCAAAACCAGCCCGACCCACGGGGACCCCAACGCTGCTCTGGGCAGAGCAAGAGAGCACAGCACTCACAGGGAGCAGAGAGAAGGAGGAGAAAAAAGAAGGAATGCAAGAAAAAGAGCAAAATAAGCAAGGAAGTCCCTGGCAGAGGAGGCGGAGCATCCCGTGGATCCCAGGAGCAGCCTGGGGCCATCTCCAGCCCCGTGTCCCCACTCACCCGTGCGCAGCCCGGCCTGGTGGGCCGGCCCGTCCTCCCGCACGTTCTTCACGAAGATGGTGTCCATGGGCTCCAGGCGGCTCCGGGGGGGACCTGCTCCGTGGGGACACACGATCAGGGAGCTGCCGGCACAGCCAGGACCACCCCACAGCAAGGAGCACATTTGGCCCCTTGTGGTCACCTCCTCGCCTCCCCCAGCCCTGCTGCGAGCACAGATCCTGCCCAGGGGGAAGCCTAACACTCGGGGCAGCTCCTGGTCCCCGTCACCCCCAGTCCCCTGTGAAAGACCAAAAGCCACCAGTGCCGGGTGGGTGGGTGGGCACGGAGCCCACGAGGGATTCCAAACCCCCCCGGGACCACCCGGACCCCGAGGTCAGAGCCCCCCGGCCCTGCTGGGCGCTGGGTGCCGGCTCTGGCAGCGCCGCCCGCACCGGCTCCCCGGGGAGCGCGGCCCCGGCGCCGCGTCACCGCGCCAGCGCCGATCCGTTCTGACACCTTCACATTCACTCACGTCACCGGGAGCCTCCAGGAGCTCAGCGGGGCCGTGTCCCTGTCCCCAGACACCCCGTGCTCAGCGGGGGCCAGCACTGGCCACTCCGCAGCCCCCCCTTCACTGCGGGCAGACCTCCCCCCCGGGCGTGATGTCCAACAAACCTCCCAAGGGGTTCTGGGGACACTGAGCCCCTCCAGGGCGCAAAGTGCCACCAAAGTGCTGCCAAAGCACTGTGTCACTTCACCTCCAGCTGAAATTTAGGGCTGTGGTGACAGCGACAGCCACAGCAACGCCCGCTGTGGCCCGAGACAGCCACGTGCCCCCCGCGCCCACCCCGGGGGTCCCGTGGCAGTGCCAGCGCTCACCTGCTCGGTTCCCATTCTCCTCCTCCTGCCAAGAGAAGAGAAAAGCGTTGATTTGGCGGTGGGGCCCGTGACAGGGGGCTGGGGTGGCAGCCCCACGAAGCCCCCGGCGGGGCCGGCGTGTCCCTCTGGCCTCCACTGCCCCCAGCTAAAATTACCTCCTGACACCGGATCCCGGCCGCCCGCGTGGCCCCGGCGGGCAGTGGGATCTAACGGAGCCCCCCGCACCCAGCTGATGGGAAAGGGGCCAGTTTTGGGGCAGGGGAGTGGGAAAGGGGCCCCAGGGTGGCATCTCACCCTTCGCCCGGGGCCACCAAGCCTGGTCAGGGACAGCCTGAGCCCCCACAGTGCGGTGCCAGGGGAGGGATCCATCCCATCTGTGGGATGAATCCTTGTCCCTCCCCATCTCTGCAGCCTCCCACTGCTTGGGGTGGGCTGCCAGGGCTGCAGTGGGCACTGCAGGGGGGTGGCAAAGGGGTCCTGCACCCCCTTCCCAGCCACGGGCAGGGGACAGCCCTGGGAGCCACGTGGATCTGTCCCGTGGGGTGGGAATTGTGCTGGTGGATCCCCACCCTTCTATCCCACATTCACCCCTTGGGGACCCCCCAGCAGAGCCACGGTGCCCAGGGGGGTCCCAGGCTGGGACAGGACACAGGGTGCTGCATCCACACTGCTGAGCCCCCAACGCAGACACGGAGCACCCCGGGCTCCTCAGCCCCACACACGTGTCCCAGGAAGGCACCCGGGCACCTGGAACGGGAATTTTCACTCCACCAGTGCCAGATCCTTCCATCTCTGGGGGGGGACACAGGCCTGGCCCCGTCCCCCAGCCAGTGGGGACACAGACTAATGTCCCCAGGGCACCAAGTCCCTCCAGGGTGCTGGGAAGGGCCCAGTGTCCTTCCCAGTGTAACAGGGGGATATTCCCAGTGAGGAGGAGAGGGCTGGAGCCATCACTCCCGGTGGTGGGAAGGAAGAGCCACATTCCACGGCCTCGGCACGCAGGACCGGCTGCCACAGTGCCAGGGCAGGACCGTGGGGCCACCGAGAACCCCTGGAGGCACGGACTCACCCCCTCCCTGCCCCTCCTCACCCCGGGGCATCCCAGAGCCCTTCCCGGCCCCCGGGGCATCCCAGAGCCCTTCCCGGCCCCCAGGGCATCCCAGAGCCCTTCCCAGCCCCTGGGGCATCCCGGCAGCCGCACTCCCAGGGCCGGGCGGTGCCAAACGCGGCGCGCGGTGAACGCGGCACCACCGCCGGCACCGTCACCCTCCTCCCTGCTGAGTCAACCCACCGAAACTCAGCCCCCGGACCTGGCCGGCTGCCGGCCCCCCGCGGGTGCTGAGCCAGCCCCGCCGCGCCCTGCCCCGCCGGCTCCGCGGCCCGCAGCTATTCCCAGCCTCTTTCCAAGAGCATCCCCAGCTCCCGGCGCTGATCCGGCTCCTTCCCACGCGGCCGCCCTGGCAGGGCTCGGCCCAGGTGCCCAGCGGGGCAGGATCGATCCCTCGCTCCTGGAGGATCCTTTGGAGAGGCGGGAGCGAGCGGGTGGGTCTGGAGGAGCTCCAGGCCGTTCCCACGACAGAACCAGGGCGACGCTGCCGGAGACGGGGCAGGTCCGTGTTCCCGGGGCGGGAGGACAGGAAGGATTTTGGGGAAGCAGAATACGAGGAGCCTGGGAAAAGCGCCGGGACGGAGGATGCCGAGCGGGGATTCCGGCGAGTCGGTTCTCCCCACCCTGTGACTCACTTCCCACCGCAGTTCCCCGTCTGCCAACGCCAGCCCGTGGGGCAGCCGGAGCCGTGGGGCAGCTCTGAAGCTCTGGGGGTGATGGGAGCATCCAGGTCCATCCAGGCTTGGAGCAGTGATGGATCACTTGGCTCCCAGACTCTTCTCCCTTCATCCACACAAAGCCGCTGCCGCGGGAAGCGGGGCAAGGGGATTCCAAATTCCAGGAGATCGGAGCTGGCTCGTCCCTTTGGGTTTAGAGGGCTCCATCCAGGCTGGAAGCTGCTCATGGGATCCCTCCATCCAGGGGGGTTGAAGGTGCTGCCTGGATTGGGGCTTCTTGGTGGTTCAGGGGGTGCAGGAGGGTCAATCCAGAGCTGAGTCCCCCCAGAAGGCAGCACCTGGAGAGGGTCTGGCTGCAGCTGGACACAGATCCCGGGGCAGATCCAGTTGAAAGTCTCTCACCAACAGCCAGGAGCCTGGGACCCAAAAATCCACTGGGCCTCGCTGGCCTTGAGGGCTCTGAAGTGCCTTTTCCTGCCATTCCCAGGGATGCTGGAGCCATCCTTCGGGGTCGAGGGATTCTCCCTGTTCCCACAAGCAGCCGTGTCCCATCCCAAAAGGATCCAGAAGTGCTGCTGATTCCCACATCTCCCAGCAGCTCCACAGGTTCCTCCATTCCAGGGACACCCATGGGGGGTGGGGGCAGCTCCAGGAACCCCAACAAAGCAGGTGATGACGGACGGTTCATTCCTCATCTCCCAGAGCCCGCCTGCCCACCCCCAGCCCAAACACTGCATCCAACCACAGCATTCCAGTGTCCCCAGAGCCCCCCCAGGCCCCCCCAGCTCCCGGCCCTACCTTGGCCGAGTGCACGGCCGACTCCGGGGGGTACACGATGAAGTGGCGGAGGGTGAAGCCGAACCCCCCCTGGGAGCTCTTCCGCAGCACCACCGTCTTGGGGCCCACCCAGGGGAAGGACCCCCCCTCCGGGGGCGCGTTGGCATTCGGGGATGCTCCATCTCTCCGGCCCGGCGTCGGCTGTGAGGGGGGGACAAGGACAAGATGTCACTTCTGGAGAGGGGAGGGGGGGTACAGGACCAGCCCCCCCACGTGCCCACCCCTTGAGCTCTGCCCAAAAGGCTGCTCCACTCCTAAGACCGTCCCCCCCATCCCTATTCCTCCCTATTCCCAGCCCTCCAGCAGCAAATTCCAGCCCCCACAGCCCACCCAGCCCAGCAGCATCCCCCCCCCAGACTCCTCACGTGGGACCTTTGGGAAGAAGATGAATGGAAAGGAAATAAAAATAAATGAGCTGTGCCTGGGGGTCTGGATGGGACCCAGGAGGAGAGATGGGGGCGGATGGCTGAGGGACTCGGGGACAAAAGGTCCCTTCTGGTGATGCCGTGGCAATAACCTTGGGCAAGCCGGAAAGAGCCGTCCGGGAGGTGGTGGGATGAGTGCTGCTTCCCCAGCCGGAGCAGGGACCTGGCACCGTGTTGGGATCTGGCAAGGGGCACTGCCCAGAGCAGCAGATGGGGCCAAAGGGGATGTGGCTCCATCCCACAGCTCCCAGTGCCAGTGCTGGGAGGGGCAATGGGGTTGTGGCGGAGCTGGAGCAGCCACGGGCATCTCTCCTGGCACCGAGGCAGGGAGCTGGGAGAGGCATCCAGGAGTCCCAACACCCTGGCTGAGGCCAGGAGGGTTTAGCACAGCCCCGGTAAGGGACGGTGCTGCTCCCTGTGCCGCACATCTGGCTGCACATCTGGCTGCACATCCGCCAGCACAGCTGGAGCGGGAGCAGCTCCGTGGCCAAGGGGAGGAGAGGGCACTGCCTGATGCCCTGGGAGCACCCAGCTCTGCTAAAACAGGAGAAACTGGCAATCTGGGAGCTGGAGGGACAGGCAGAGCAGCGGATCCACCGGGATCTGCTCCCGAGTGGCAGCTCCTTCCCTGCTGCAGCCGTTGGAATCAGCCCATCCTGGGACGAGGGTGTTAAAATTCAGGGGCTGTCTGGGTGGAAGCGATGGATGGGGAGCGGGGAGGGGACAGGGACAAGGGACACAAAGGGACAAGGCACAAAAAGCCTTTGTCTGTGCCTGTGCTGAGTGGGCCTTTTCGCTGCCGGTGGGGAGATCTGACGGCAGCTCGGCGGGGCCGGGCTGCACCCCCTGTCCAGCACGTCCCACACGGAGCCCACGGGGGGAACGGGGGTCCCATCCCCCTGGGGATGGGGTCCCTGGGGTGAGGACATGCCTCTGGCACGAGGCATCGCACCCACCCACCCCCTCCACCCCTGCTGCACGACCTGGGAGGGAGGCACAACCGCTTCGGGCGCTCCCACACCCCAAAACAGAAAGAACACCCCAAACCCCACCACAGGAGAGAGCCGGAAAACCCCAGTACCTCCCGACACCACACAGGCAGCAAAGTCCCCCACAAGCCCCCTGCCACCCCCCCCCGCCTTGTGCCGCTCGATCCCAACGGAAAACCCAACCCCAGATGGCAACAGGCACCCCAGGCTCCCGCGGGACCCCCATCCCCGGGCGGCGGGGCCGGAGCATCCCGGCGGCGCCCGGGCCCATCTGCCCCTCCATTGTGCCGGCCGCCGGCTCGCCGGATTATTTTTAAGCTGACAGCTGAATGTGCCCCTGCTGATTTTAACCGGCACGGACAGGCCCCGGGGAGAGGGCGGAATGGATGCTCCGAGGAGACACCGACGGCGGCAGCGGCCCCGGCGTGTCCCCGTTGTTGTCGTCGTGGCGGCCGTGACACGGTGACACGGTCCCCAGGTGTGGTGGTGGCACCGTCCCGCCCGCCGTGCCTCGGTTTCCCTCCTCACCCATCCCGACTTGAAGCTTTTGTCGGGCTACAAAGCCCCCCCAGTCGCGGGTTTGGATCCTCCCCCCCCCCCGCTGGCTCACGGCCCTGCAGATGCTCCTGTTCCCCCCCCCGCAGTGGGGTTGGCACCCAATTTGTCACCTCAGCCGTTTGTCCTCAGAGCCCTCTTCCTCCTCCCAGATTTTTGGCTTTATTTAACCTCATCCTGGTGGTTTCTGCTGCGATACCACCAGCTGTGTCCTCATCCTCCTTATCCCAGTTCTCCTAGGCCCCCATCCCATGAAGGCTGCAGGGATGGGGAGGAACCCCTTGATCCTTGGCACAGCTCGTGCCAGTGGCTGTGACACCCAGAGGCCCCCACCCAAGTCACCCTAATTCCTGCGAGGTCTTTTACCCCCCATCAGAGGTGTCACCAGGTCCCTGTACCCCGAGTCACCTCCCCACCCCCACGGGGACACGAAGGGACGGGTAATTCCCACCGGTGTCCCCCTCCTGCAGAACAAAGGAGTGTTTTCCCTGCACCCCGGGGGGGGGGGCAGGATCCATCCCCCCCTCCCAAACACGGCGAGCTGAGCACCGGGAGCAAAACACCTTCACGAGCAGGAGCCTGGACCCCCACCCCCGACCCCAGCACGGGAGGGGACGAAGGGGACACACCGCAGCCCAGGAGCTGTGACAGCCCCCGGGCACACCCCACCCTGCCCTGTGGGACCCCTCCCATCCCTTCAAGGCCCCCCCCGCCCCCCCAAACCAGGCGCGACCCCCTGCTCTCGGTTCTCACCCGGCGGCCCTTGTCGGTTCTGCCCCCGCGGCCGGGGCGGGGGGCCGGGGGCGGGCGGGGGTCGGGGGTGGCAGCGTGTCGGCGGAGGCTGCTCAGCCAGATGCAGCGGGGCTCGGGCGAGCTGCAATCCACCCCGACGGGGCGCTCCAGGCGCCAGCCCTTCCCGGAGCGCTCCACGCTCCACAGCCTTTTGGGGCTGGGGGCTGGCGGGGGGCGGCAGGGACCCCGCCGCGCCCCTCCGCCCGCGCTCTCCTCCACCATCCCGCCGCGCTGGGGGGGCTCTCAGCCGGTGGTCGGCACCCCCGCCATGGGGTCCTGGCAGCCCCCCCGGGTGGGCTCGGGCGCTGCGCGGAGCTGCCGGTGCCGCTCACACCCGCATCGCCGCTCGATCCTCGCTCACAGCCCACCCCCCCCGCCGGCAACGCAGCCCCCACCCAGCCACCCCCCCAGCCTCCCGGATGGATGGAGGGTGGGATGGATGGATGGATGGATGAAGG